CCGCCCGCGCCTTGCCCCGCCCGAGCCAGCCGGCCGCGCATGCGCGTCAGCCGCCGCCCGCCGGCAAGCGGAGACGTGGCCCGCCTGAGGGGGGCGCCCCGCTGAGGCGGCGGCGGCGGCCATTTTGGGAGCGCTGCGAGGCGGTCTCTCGTCCAGCGTGGCCTGCTCTCATGGCGCCGCTGAAACCTCGCTCCTCGTACGAAGCAGCAGCTGAAATCGTCTTCCTGAGGGGGTGATTGAGGAATGGCAGCTAGGTGCGTCTCTTCTACAGGTTTTCAATTAATTGCTTCGGTTTCTGAGTACTGAATTTAATTCTGTATCTCTCTGGATGTGTTTGCTGGTAGCCCTCCACAACCATTGCACAGGTGCACTCTCCATCGAGGAGGAGCTGGTGGGTGCTCAGGAGTCAGCTGGACCTTGCCTGCACTGCCCTAGGCCTGTGACATCCTCTCAGCCTGTACCCAGGCAGCTGTCGAGCTCCAGATGCCATGTGTCTGCGTGGGCACCTCGAGGAATGCTGCACGCTTAAAACCTTTAGATACCACAGGTTTGGCTTTTGTTGTGTTCTCTAGTCTTCCAAACACATGGCTTATCAGTGCCCCACACACAGGGGCAGAAGATCATCACCAGCTGTATGCCATCAGGCCCTGTGAAGTTGGCACTGTTGCCCACTGCCAGCAAGGCAGAGCCCCTCACTGTCCTGACATTAGGGTTCCTGCCACCCTGCAGCTCCCTGCAGCAGCATTCCCTTCTCTGTAGATGTTGTCCACTTCTGTGGGCCACACTTGAGGCAACGTCAGGTCAATCCGCATGATGACGAATTGGTGGAGGGCTGCCAAAGCCAAGTTGGAGGCTGGCCACACAGAAGGACGCCACAGGGGCATATGCCGTGCTGAGAGGTGAAGATGCTGAACCTCACCTGGGGTGTGCCTGCAAAGGGCTCTCGATGATGGTGACCCAAGACTTGGTGACTGCCTTCCTCTGCCACAACCATGACAGCCTCCAGAGACTGCTTCCTGGCAGAGTCCAGTGTTCTCTGACCAGGCTTTTTTAGATGTCCACACATGGAAGGTCCAATGTTTAAAACAGAGTTTACTCTTTTGAGGCTATTTGCATTTACAAGAGTTTTCCATTTAGTAGGGAGATACAGCAGTCAGTATAAAGGCATGTTACATTTTGCAGACTATTGCATTTCCAGTATACTGTGGAATCACAATATAGTTGTGAATTTCATTTCTGGTCTCTAGAATATGCTTATTGTCACAAGACTGGCTGTCCCTAATTGCCTGGAAGGGCTATGTGGGTTGTAGCCAGCTCAGGCCTGGAGTTCTGTCTTCAGAGGTTTAGTCCGTTCATTGTTTTTGACATTTTTGTATTTATTGTTGGGGTTGAGCCACATATACACTCGCTATGCTGGGCTGTTTGAGTTTATTGCTGTGGAGTCTGCAATGTGAACTCTGTGTCCCATCTCTTCCCACTTCTTGCCTGTGCTTCTCTGTGCTTCTTGCTGTAACTTCTTAAGGCCTTCAGTGTCACACCAGGCCTTTATTTCTCTCACTGCATCATTGTGCTAGTGCTGCAAATACCTCATTTGACATGGAACAAGTGTTTCCAGCTATTCTCTTTAGAAAACTATGGTCACACTGAACAAAAATAAGGAGACATAAACCAAATAGCCATACTAACCTTACAAATTTAGCTGTCACAGCTAAAACAAGTAAAAGTTGCAGGCAGGGCAAGTTCTCACAGAGAGCAAGCTTCACAGCCCTCAGCCTGAGGCCTTGTAAATTCAGTACAGAGTTGCCCCATTGCTTGTTTTGTTAAGTGCTTCACATAACTCATACAAACCACAAAGCTATTATGCTTGCTAAATTACTATGATAAGGTGCAGAGTCAAACTGAGAACTCATGCAGCTAAAGAGACCTGTCCAACAGGCATTGTGGTGGGGAGCGTATTCCTTCCTTCGTCACTCTTGAGTCTGGTGGGCAGAGCCATAGGTACATGGAACTTGAAGGTACAACCTTGCAGGGCATGTAACTCAGCTCCTTGGGCTTGCCTCGGTGTTTGCACTGCTCCAGCTCTTAGCTGTGTAGGTGGCGTTACAGCAGGCAAAGTCTCATACTGAGAGAATGACAGGGCTCTACAGAAAAGTGTAAAACAATAAGCTAAATACGTGTTATAGTTACCTGCGTTAAACATATATGTATAAATAAGTGATAGGGTTGTAGCATTTAACTGATCTAATACGTACACAAGCTGTGTTATCTTAACAGTAAGTATACCCCTAACACTAGTTAGGGGTATACTGTTCTGCTTGAAGTCTGCGTTTCTTTAACTCGGGGACAGACAGTTACACAACTGTTCTTTACGCTTAGCTGATTCAGCCAGTCTGTCTGAAACAAAGGCATTCTCTGGTTCCCTCTTGTATTGAAGTGAGTTTGGCTTCTTTTGCAACAGTTGTAGTCAATCACTCCATTATTGTCCCCTAAGCCTCAAGGACATGGAGTCTCTCCTTAACTACTCAGAGTGTGCCTCCCCTGCCTGTGGGTGGTGGGGGACAAAGGGGTCCTTGAATGGGTCACAACCCCATTGTTGGAAAATACGAGGTGTTCTGAACTTGGTGTAAAATCTTTGTATATTTGTGATCTGGTACTGCATTCTATAATAATGGGAGAGGGGTATAGTTTAAAGCTACTGAAGCGGCATACCGAGGACGCCTGAAAAGTCAAGAAGAATAAGGAGGAGATAGGCATCTAAAACGGGCCTGGCAACCTACCAGAAGGACGAAAGGTAAAAAGTACACAGCGAGGAAGACGTCTTACTTCATCAGAAACGACCACCGAAGACCACTAGAAGGGACTGGAATGTCGCCAGAATGACGCAATCTATGAAGCAATCCCTACTGAATATGTAATAAGAGGTGATGGGGTGACTATTGAATATGTATGAAATTGTATAATCGTGAGGGTATAAATTGTAAGTTGACACGGTCGTCGGTGACCCAGATTTGGGTGACTACCCCTGGTTCCCGGGCCCGCGAAATAAAGCACCGCATATAACTACCTTCCAGTGGTTATGTGTTTGTCACCGACACCATGACTGCAGCAGGAACTGAGAGCGAACCTCTTTGGAGCCCACCAGATACAATCAACTCTCCTGAAGCTCACTGTCATGATAAACATAAGGAGATACAAACTGAACGGCCAGGCCACAGCTGGGAACATACAGCTGCTGCTTTATGAATTGCACCAGTCAGCTTTTCCTTAAGCATATCAGCTTCGGTGAGTCCTCGTGCAGCATGGGTGCCTACAACTGCGTCTGGCTGCTGTGCTCTTGGCAAGCAAGAAGGAAGCCCCTTGGCCTCACTGAGCCGGGCAGCTGCCACAGTGGCAGTCACACCTCCATACCCAACCCCAAGTCCATCCTGGACCAGTAGCCCTCAGCTTCTCAGCTCTTCACACACCATGACCCATGAGGTCCCTGCAGCATCACGGTCTCCCCAGCAGCTGTGAGGAGGCTCTGATCATGGAACATGTACAGCATGTGTCCTGCTGGAGTCCTGACAAAGACAGTAGGGTCTCCTCCCCAAGCTCCTCTTGACAAAAGAGACCAGCTGGAGCTGCTCTAGCTTCTGGAAGGAATAGAGCCATGGGGGAGGCCAAGGGGCTGCCAGGCGCTGCAGCCAAACCTGCTCAGCTCCCTGCAGGACCAGACAGTGATTGCCTGGAGTCCCCAGCTGCACAGAAGGAGGAGGGCAAGCAGCCCCAAGGCTTGTTCCCACCATGGCAAGAGGTAGCCGTGACTCCAGCACTGGGAGGGAGTGTGGGATCAAAGCCATAATGCCAGTGAGATGGTCAGAAACCAGAGACAGGAGCTGGCAGACGAGCCAAAGAGAAGGATAGAGGAGAAGGTTAGGACACTGGCAAGTCACAAAAAAGCAAAGGAGGCTTTGAAAGTTGTTGAGAGAGGCCAGGAAGTGCCAGTGCTGCAGAAGGACTACAGCAAGAGCACCTGAAGGAACAAAAGACAGAATCTGGAAGAAACAGTACCCAAAGCAAGGCCAGAAGGTGGGCATACGGCAACATACTAATAGTTATAGGACGCGGAGGGCATTGGGTCAGGGACAGAAGACATAGAGAGGCCCACGTGCAGGAAAGAGTAAAGGAGCACCCGTTGCTTTGTTTCCTCAGACAGTGTTAAGTCTGTGTCTTGCATCCCAAAAACTTCTTTCTCATGTTTTCCTCAAAATGTCTGTGGATAGGAATTGGCCTTAACTAGGTGTCTGCAGGGTACAGTTCAACTCTACCCTTATCTGTACAGTCAGGACTTCCTCTCTGTCTATATATTTAATGCAACTTGGTCCTAAAGTCCAAACAAAATCTTAGGGAAAGATGGGAATGAGATGTGTTTCTTAAATGTGAAATAATTGTTTTCTGTTTCTTCTTGGCAAGTCTACACGGTTACAATAGTAAAGCCCTGGGTGTGGATCAGAAGCTTAACACTTTCACCACCTGTTCCCAGTGCTTTGCTGTAAGATGAGCAGCTGGAGTGTAGCCTGGAAAGTAGCTGAGGACGCTTGCAGCATGCAAAGCAGACCAGTGAGAGGCGGTTCAGGAAGCTGCTCCTGGATATTTCCCAGCTGTTGGTGAGTGAGCTGCAGGGCTGGGAAGGCTTTCCTTCAGCCTGGCCTGAAGCATGGCCTGGCAGTTGGCGTGGTGAGGCGAGGGCAAGGGCAGCTCTGTGAGCTATCTCACTCTACTGATCTCTGGGAACGCAGCTGTTTGTGCAAGTCCCCAGGTTATGCAGTATGGTCTTCCTGCAGACCAAGCCAAACACACGGAGCAAATACAGACAGTTGCTTGTTTACAATCATTTTGTTACACTCAGTATGTTCCTTAGCACTGTGTAGGCAGTGGGGGAGATCTTGCTGTGTTGGATAATGTTGAGTATTTATTACACAGGTGGCTCTGTATTTGCCCACAACTTTAAAAAGCTTCAACGTTCTTCATAAGCACACAAAAAAGTCAATAAATGCACGAAGGTTAGGGTAGGGTTTGGATTGCCAAGGCTGCTGCTGGCCTTCTGCCAGGCTGAGTGGGTGAATGGACAAGCTCACCCAGGCTGCAGGTTTGCATTTCCGGGTCTGAAACAAAAGCCCAGACCAAAGGAGTTTCACAAAGCTGACCTTTTGTACCGTGGTAATAAGGTACACCCCCAGTATCAGGACTGACAGGAGGTTTCTGCTGTGGGAAAGGTACTTCACACAGCTGAGGGAGCAGCTGCTTCTCCCAGCCCCATTAGCCCACTGTGGCAGCTGTTCACTGGAGTGAACAGGACTAAAACACAAACCTCCACACCTACATCAGGGCAGGTGTCCAAAACTGCTCTCAGTGACAGTGCAGCACTAACTGCCTTCATTCCCTCAATGCTGCAGTGTTCCTGAGATCCCATGGCTATCTCAGCATGGGGCAATGGGCAGACAATTCAGAAGAGGACTTTGAATGCTTTTTACCGTCAAAGCTTTAATACCAAGTTGAAGCTTATGCATTTGTCCAACACGTGATGTCACCATGACACTGAGTGGATGCAGAGGAGATAACAAATTTCTGGTTTTGTTTCTTTTTTGTAGCAGATGACCACCCCATCCTCTCACACTTTGGGGGGGCATTCAGTGAAGCTCTGTTCACCACCTGCTAAGCCTCTGAAAGGATGAGGGAAGGATCTAAATGCCCTGGGTGGCTGCCGCCCATTGCCATCTGGAGGTGTGCAAGCGCGTGTGTGCAGCGTGTGCTCCTCCTCCTGGGCGCAGAACCGCCGTGCCCCGTAGCTGAGCAGGGATGCTGTGAAGGCAGCTGTGGTAGAGGCTGTTCCAGGATCCGTCAGTGAAACGCACTGTACTGGCACGGGCAGGAGCTGCTGGGGTAAGGAACCGTGCTTGTGTAAACGCCTGTATATACAGGTGTGTCTGAATTAAGTGTAGGTGTGTGGGTGTAGCTGTGTGTGAATACACGTGTACACAGAGAGAGACACGGTCAGGTTAGTCAAGTGCTGTGCGTGCATAAAGGAAAACCATTCAAGGAGGGGTGAAGAATAGGACTTAACGCTGTGCCTCCTTGCCCAGCACCTGGATTGGGCCGTCATGGACTTGAGTGCAGGAAGATAGAGACAGTGTTGGTGTCCGTGTGTTGAGGGAAAGGTGTGTCATGGCATCTGCAGTGTGGTGAGGGTTGGG